TTTTTATAAATTCGACACTTGAAAGATGTTGGATAATTTGTTATTGTGATACTATACACTTGCAGGAGTGATCACATGACGTACTAATTATTTAATTTTTCATGAGATTAAAAAAAATAAATTTTAAATATGCGTGATGCATATTAAAAGTGCCAGAAGCAATGTATAATTCAATACTTCATACAATCAACTACACTTTGAATTAACTGTGGCGTTTAATGTGAACAGTACACTATTCTAAAAAAAGGCTATATTTTAAATTTGAAGTATTTCATAAAACCAGTTTGGAGAAAAACCGAAAAGCTAGACGTGAGAACTGAGAGGTCGTCATGAAATATGTAGAGAATGACCGTAAAAGCAAATCAAACCCGTCCTCTCACTCTTATCTGTGGATATTTCCTTAATATTGTGCAATTATCTTTCTTGAAACAAGCACTCCTTAATCTTTCAAGACCAAAACCGTACACGTGTCCTACTCTACAACAAGATAAAACTTGTAGGGTGTAGCCCATGCTTCTAATTTCTAATTCTAATAATTACTTATAAATATAATTTATATCAAATACGAAATATCATCGTTAGTCAAACAGCAGCCTCCTCTTCGCGTGTGGGAAAATGCATTTAGCTGAGAGGTAGAATGACAATAACATTTTAAATTGATGAATTAAATTCTTAATAAAATTTTATATAAAATAAATTATAAATATTAATTTAAATAATTGTAAACGAGAACTTGAATTGTAAATTAATTTTTTATTTAAAATTTAAATATTATATTTATAATTAGAATTTTTAAATTTATAAATGTTTGAATTGATATTTACAATTATTTTTTTTTAATTTGTTGAGGACCTATCACAATTTTGATTAAAATCATAAAATTCATATTTATTTTTAAAAGTTAGTACTGTATAGTATATAAGCGTAGTTTTTAAAAGATACAATTTTTTTAATGGTAGGATTTTAAACTATTTTCAATTTTTTTATAATTTAAAAATAATTCGTGAATAATTGCCTGATATTAAAGGCGTCCATGGCCATCACCCGATGGCAAATTGGAGTGGTGGAAAAGTTGGGTCAGCAGCTCCTTTATCTGACCAGTTATCTGACCCATTCCCTTGACCCTTTCAGACACAGCTCCTATGAACATGTCCAGCGAGACAATGCTTCTTCACACATTGGAAGGCCTTTAAAAAAAAAAAAATTTCCGAAGTGTAAACGAAATCGAATCCACGACTTATCATTTGTATGAAAATTTACTGGCACTAAATTACAAAGTCGTCAGCTAAAATGCTTATTTCTTTTCCATCACACTCTATTCCTTGTCAACCTCACATGCACATGCGTATGGTTTGTTTGGCTTATCCAGAATAATGAGCTGGAGAAAACTACCATTTCGTTTTTTTATTTGGACTACAGACATGGCCAAAACGCACGTCAGGAAAAGTAATGTCTTCAATTTGCGTTTAAATTAATTTGAGAACCATCAAATCCATTCCCAGGGCACGCTCTCATGATATGTAATTTGACGAAATTAATGTAATTTTCATCCAGTTAATTACCCAATTAATTAATCATGTGACTTTTGTCCATCTCTATGATTGCCCTCCCACAAATGACTGGCATATTCTACAAAGCGTGTCCCAAATTGTCTAATGAGCAGACATTCCGTTCAAATAACTTTAACTTAATCGCCGTGCTTCTGAATTCGTCACTATCATTTTTATTTTCTATTTTTACCACATTTGATCACGTTAATATAGTTTGTGTAATAAAAATATAATATTTAAATGATATTAAATATAAATCAATTTTGATATTAATGATAGTAGAGAGAAAAGGTAAAAAATTAAATGTACATTCTGTTAAAAATAAAATTAATTTAAAAAATATCACACAAAATTTTATTTAAATTATTTGGAGCATTTTAATTGGATAGACTGTAAAAAATATGATGCACCCGATCTATTTAAATATTTCTCATCATACCATTTTAATTTACTGAATTAAATGACTAGAATCATGATAAATATATTTCCTGTTTTCGTATAAAATAAAATAAATTGGACGCTTTGAAAATAAAATGGAGTTATTGCGTCGCAATTAACCTCCGGATAGATAACGTATCAAGGCATCTAGGATGGGTCTCCCTCCAATAAGAAAGTCACACAGGCACGGCTGATGGCTCATGTAATGTAAATAGAATCGCTTCTTACTTGTTTTATATTAATATTAATATACTGATGGTATTTGCCTTATGTTATTGAATTTTGTATATTCATAAGTTGTAGGCTTGACGTCAGGTAAAAAGTCATTACTTCTAATTTTTATGGAGTTTTTTATTTTATTTTATTTTGATTCCATCACCTGCTATCCTAAAAAACCTAAGGTTTTGTTTGGTATGGTGGAATGATTTTTAATGAAATGGAAATGAGAATAGGAATGAAAGTGGGATTGGAATAATAGGCGGGAATGAGTTTTTTAAGCATGTTTTGGTACGGTAATGTAATGATAATGTAAATTTCATTTAATATATGTAATTATAATATCTAAGTACCATATCTTCTAATTTGTTGGGAAAAAAAATTAATGACATGATCAATCACCATCTTCATCGATTGAGTTTCCTATCTCAAGTATGATGTCCAACTCCACAAATCCAGGACATGCCTACAATTTGTTCCTTGGTACACAATCGAAGTTCTTTCCCCTCACCTACAACGAAGCGATTTGCAAGTCTAAAAAGCGAAAAAGAAAAGGAGGGAGAAGCAATGATGGTGGCGGTGAAGTTAGAGCGCCGGTGGGGAGTCGAATAGCAACTTCGACCAACGACAATGGTGAAGTAGGAGAGACGATAGTAGAGTTGGAGTGGCAGTAACCAACTAAGCAGCGACTTTGATTGAAGATTAGCGATTATCAGCAATGACAAACATAGACTCCCCTTGCATAAGATAGAAGAAAGAAGTCGAGCTCAATTTGGTTTGTTGAAGACGAGACGAGAAGCCCAACTAAGGGTAGGATTGTTTGAAAATTTTATAATCAAAAATAATTTAATCATCTAAAAATTTATTTCCAAGGAATGAACTCATTTCCATGACCTTTTGACAGAATGGGGATTAGCTTGAATAAGATGATGGGCCATTTCATTGGAATGACCTATCCCATGCACCAAACAAGGCAATAGGCTATTTTCACTCCTATTTTCATTCTGTTATCTATATTCCATCAAATCAAACATGGTTTAAAGGTATTATACCATCCTTCCAAACTAATCCAAGTCCTTATTGGGTGAAATATCATACTATTAATGATGACTTCATGATTGTTTTAAGAATGCCTTTAATATTTTTATTCAATGAGATCACGTATTCAATATTCAAATTCAATATTTTGAAATAAGCTAATTCAATGCCCTCATAGACACCTATCATTTTTTTAAACACGCATTAAATGTAAACATGATACTATTGTGTACAAGAATGAATATTTACGAATAAAATTTAAGTCATATTCTCTGTCATTTAATAATAATATATAAATTGAATAAACTTTTAACTTTGCTCCATTTTTTTTTTGTAGAATAAAATTTAAGTGAGTTATAGATTGTCCATTAACTCAATTTTTGTATCAATAGCAAGATTTAAACTTATAAACTTATGAATTACGAGTTAAATCTTCACCAACTAAATCAACGTTTATTAGTAACCTTGCTCTTAGTGTATATATATTTTAATAATAACACACTATCCTCTCTAACCAAACTTATGATAGAAAAAGTTAATGATATGCAAACGTAGGATGAAAAAATTATAAACAGAACAAAAAAATATTAACCCGGGTCATATACCTTGTACTGGCTAGCCAGCAAGCAGCCATTCTATTTTTGACAATGCGACTGGTACGCGTTAAGGGGGGGAAAAACAAAACGGCAATAGCTTTTTGATGGAGTGGGGCGATGAGTCCACTACCGGACAGCCAATTTGTTTGATATATTGAGAGAGCCACTCACGAATTATTCAAAGCAAGCGAGAAAAACAAGCGAATGGAGAGACGATCTGCAAGCTCCTATTTTCAATGGAAAAACCAATTCTTTGTGCTAGCAAACAAAATGTCTCCCCCAAATTTCCAGTACAAGTTAAAAAAATCTCACCTAATTAACGAAACCTTACAAGAACAACTTAATATGATTTTGGCATCGATTAGAGATAAGCACAAGATCGAGATATCTCAGAGACGCAAATGCTTATATGTTTCTATCTCACCCCGCCAATAATGCATTATTTAAAGACAGAGGCAAAATTAAAGTACCTGTTCGGATTCACCCAAGGATGTAACACGCGGGTGAGGACAATTCGCGAGGATAAGTGTGCCTGGCCAAAAATGGCCAGACACATCAAAGATATAAAAGAAAAAAATGACCTAAATTCTAAAAAATACAATCAATTTTTTTTTTTGAAGAGGAAAAAAGACCAAGAGAAAGATGATTTGAGTATGAGGAGTGACGAGCGACGAAGCTTTTTTTTGTTTTCTGGCACGTGGAAGTGCAGCCATCGTTTATTTTTGTTATTAATTACAGGCACATACATTATAGTTTAATTAGGGCCACTTTCTCAAATTTTGATATGCTACAGTCATTAAGGGGCTGAAAAAACCAGAAAAGAGGACTCGCAAAAAGTTTAACCGAAGACGACTAGTTCTCGTTCCCGCCTTTATCGCTGAACTCGAGTTCCCCGCGCCAATTTGAAGAGATATATATATATATATATATAAATACATACGCATATAGACATAGTGCCATGGGCTTGTTACCAAAAATACCATCACTGATGTGATAGGCTCACATAGAGAGAGAGAGAGAGAGAGAGAGTGAGGGCGTAGGAAATAGGAACTGCCCTTCCTTTTCTGGCCTTTTGGCTTTTTGTGCTTTTCTCCAATCCCTCCGTGAGAAACCAATCCATTCTCTCAACAGCATCTTGGACTCCCTATAAAAGAACTTGACCCTCCTGCCTTCACCCTCCTAACTCTCTCTCTCTTTCAGACTTGACAAAGCAAAAAACTATCTTTGTTTTCTGTCTTCTCCTGGAAAAGCCATGGATACTCAGCGAAGCCCTCTTCTCACTTGTGCCTACTACTGCCAGGGAAAGGTAGAAGCTCTCTTCTTATCTCCATACTCTGTATTTAAGTTTCGCATATGTGTGTAATGTTGTTTGCTCTCTGGAATTTTGGGACTAATTCTTCAGGGTATTGTGAAACTTTGACGATGCAGTCAATGGAGGAGTTGAGGCAGTCGCTTTTGTATACCACTCTGGAGCTTGAACAAACAAGGGCTGCAGTCCAAGAGGAGCTCAAAAAGAGGGATGACCAGCTGCTCAATCTGAAGGATCTGCTCGACAGGGCCGTGAGAGAAAGGGACGAAGCACAAGAGGAATGCCAGAGACTTATCTTCGAGAAGCTCGTCTTCCAGCAGCACCAAACGGCTCCTCTGTCTGGGATTTCCAGCATTGAAGATGAACCCAGAAGAGGAATTGACTCCAACAATGGCCTTTCATCATCCGATTGTGAAGAAAGCATTGTCTCGTCTCCGGTCATTGATCGGATGCCTCAGCCCCAATTACCCCCTCCGCCGGCTCCGGCGCCACGATCTATCACGCAATCCACGATTGAGCTGGTGCAGGACAAGCCATTACCGGAAAAGGGAAAGCTTCTGCAGGCGGTGATGAAAGCCGGGCCTCTGCTCCAGACTCTGCTCCTGGCAGGACCACTCCCTCAATGGAGACACCCGCCCCCGCCGCTAGAATCCTCAGAGATTCCCCCGGTGACCATCCCGTCACCACCTTCCGCGCCGGCGCCACCGCAGCTCCTCCACCAGGATTCCTTCATGAATGCCACCAACTGCGGAAGAATCAGCAGAAAAAGGGCATTGTGTGACGGGTCTGACTCTCCCATGGACACCAAGTACCAAAGGGTTGTACTTCAATGACCGCAACTAGGTTGGATTTGCTCACGTAGCGTTTTTGGGAGATTCATATATATATATATATATATATTTACAAGTCGATAGGATTTAAGGGTTAGAGCGACTCATCTAGCACATGTACAGTGATTGTTCTAGAAAAGAAGTTAACCGAGTGCTTTGATTTTAGGCTTTCTAGCAATATTTTGGGAAGTTTGAAGAATTGATCCTTGGCATTTTCTCTTTCACCCTCAACTTTTGGCTTTTGAGGTGAAAGGACGAGTTTGAAACATTGAAGTTTGATTTATCCATGCAAGTGTAATGTAATGTAACTAGGATACTGAAGTCAGTGAATGATGCGAGAGAGAGAGTGTGTGTGTGGAGAGAGATTGATCTAATTAAGATCACATCAAACAATTAAAAGAGGAGATGGGCGTGGTTGTGGAGTCGTTGGGGTTGGGAGATTGGGTGTGACCAACAAGAGGAGGTGAAGCCTGAAGTTAGTTGAGCTCTGCATGTCGGGTCGGGCGGACCCACAAATCAGGGCACGGATTCATTGCTGGTGTGATGTATGATTATATCGATATTTATATAAAAAACCCTATTCTCAGGGAATTCATGAGTAGTAATTTTGTGAATTAAAGCTTCGCTTTTGCATCCGCGTTCTGCCCCCACGAAGCGGAAAAGGGCCATGGGATTGTACTGAGTACTAACAGACGATGATATAAACAAAGGGAAAGCATAGAAAAGAAGAATAAATAATTTATTCTGTCAAAGCAACTAATGTGTCCCGCTGCACATGGGCTACGTTATTCCTGCCTCATATTCATCACTCGTCATTTCAGTACAATTGTCAACTAAAAAACATGCTGTTACCAAACTGCTCCTTTTTTGTTCTGTGTTAGCTCTGGTGGGGATATGAAATAACCTAGTGGGAAAATGAGGGCAGGGGAAGAAAGAGGGAACGGAAGAAAGAGTAGTAGACAGTTGGAAAGGAAAGGAAAGGAAAGGAGAGAGGGTGAATGAGAGAGAGCAGGGAGGAGACGGCGAGGAAGGAAGTCAGAGAGAGAACAGGGGACGAGTCCGCTAATGGCGCGACCCGCATCCCACAAGACAAAATATGAGGAAGCTCTGGTCAATTGGAGGCTTTGAACCCCGCAAGCCCCACCACGTGGCTGTCACTCTCCTTTTACCCCTCCTCAAAGCCCAGTCCATTGTTACCAGCGGCCCAACTCTGCCGTTTCAATTTCAGATTTTTATCATCTCATCCATAACGACCTTTATTTTAATTTTGACGTCATGTCATTTTTTCAACCAAATTATTATGTCTTAATGGATCTCTCGCAATCTTTTTTGGTATATATTTTCATGCAAACAAATATTATCAAAACAAATTATAATGTTCTGTGCTAGGAAATGTGGCAGAAAAATCTAAAAAAAAAAAAAGGCCCGTCCCATTTAAAGTGCAAATTATCAACCATCCAATTATATAATTAGTCTTTTAACACATTCAATTTTCATAAAAAAAACATACAAGTTTCGAGTCAACTTGAATCTAGACTTCATAAATATGACGTTGTGAGTAGTAATATGAGAAAAGCGGTGAGAGTATTCCAGAGAATGCGGAAGCTTGAAGAAGAAACACCCTTGCTAGCGACAACATAAGCGTTGACCGGTGAACCGGTTCGTACTCGATGGTTCAAAACAATTAGGCAAGGGGGCACTTTCTCTGGCAGCCTCCTGTGCATTTGAGGACAATGCGTCTCCTTTACGCCAATCCTTCTGCTGCCTTCCCCTACAATCCAACCTGCCCTTTGTATGAAATTTCAATTTCACTTGCGGTCCGACCCATTATGACCTCTCCATACCCTCGCTCCAGCCTCCACCTTATTCACTGCTCCTCAAACATCTCACACATTAAACCATTTCTGTTCTTTTGCTCAATTTGTTCATTATTCTTCTTTAACTCGACCACTCCTTCCCGGTTGAGTTCAGCCTCTGCATTACTTCTCTTGGTCTTTTCATCCGTGATGACTTGTATATATTCAGTCAAATTCCCATCAATTATTTTCAGTTTTGCCCTATGAGAAGGGCAATTAAGTGCCCTCCCTCTGTCCTCCCTCCTCGGATTCTTGTCTGTCTCCCGCTTGCTCTCTGGTCCCTCTTGCCTCACTTGCCTTGAGTAACGGAAACTGGTACCCAGGATACAAGCATACCCTACTAGTAAAAGTGTACTCTTAATTAAGTATGCCCTATGCATTAATGATTCTCACCCACGCAAAAAGTCTGCTCCGGAGGAGCCAAAGCCACCAGAACTATTCTATAAAACCTCACAAGTCATGCACTTCATTCAGCACTTGTGTGCTGCTTCAGAATCCTCACTAGAAAAGTAGACCTGTTTTGTGGACCTTACATCAGCAAAAATAAACAATTTCTGAGCTGACTTCATCTTAAAAGCTTTGATGAATTGGGCAGCTTCACATCAAACCGGCGCCTAGCTATCCTCTGATTGTCATTTTGGTTGGCCACAATCTCATGTGTATTTAATTATCAGCATGACATGTGTATGTACCATACAAAGGTCGACGAATTACCCTCAGAGTGAAGGTGTCCACTTTCTTGTCCATTCACATAATCATGACACTGTTCGAATCTTTAAGTCTGGATAAAGATTTCTGTAATACAAGTGGCAACGGCAGCCCCTTTGCAAACAATTAGTTGACAGTTGGAATGAGTTTTGATGTGAAATCAAATCGTCAATAAAATTGCCGATAAAGTTGCACCAAGAGGCTTATTTGTATAATTTGATTTCCTCATTTAGCGGAGAACAAGTTGCTGAAGAAAGAAAGAGTATATGGATATTTGGCCATGGATCATTAATATTGCTGCAACCAGTTAAGCAGCGGTACCCAATGGCTACCTTTTGTGGAGGATAAGGATGCCAACAGATCCATCACGATTCACTAATACCTCTCTCTCTCTTCATTATGATCCATTTCGTTCAGCATTTCACTTTCACATTCCCATTCAATTTCCCCTTGTACCATTCGAGCCATCTTTTGCTGTAAAAGAAACTGTGTTCCAGCATTAACTTAGCTTAATCATGCTTTTTTAGCCAAGCCAGATTGAAACCCTTAAGTTCTCAGCATTCTAAGATCGCCTCCTTTTCTTGGGATTAATACTAACAGAACCAATATTTCTGACATGATTACTATCTGAATATTAAATTTCTTATATTAAGTATGCTTAAAGATAATATACTTCATCAAAATAGTTTAAATTATTTGATTAGATACTTCCTAAATTTATATATATATGATCTATCTTTTAATTTTTAGATGTGAGACTTTTTTTATACTCTAATACTCTCTCTCTCTCTCTCTCTCTCTCTCTCTCACACGCGTGCGCGCGCACACATCAATTTCTTCTCCTTCTTTCTTTCTTTTTCTTTTTAATCTCTTCTTGTTTTTTTTTCAGCTTTCATTCTTTCATTTTTTTTCTTTTGTTTTTTTTTTGTCTCCAATCAAATGGCTCATGATATCATATTAAATTTCTTATATTAAATATGCTTAAAGATAATATAGTCCATCAAAATAGCTTAAGTCATTTGATTAGATACTTCATAAGCTTATATATGTATGATCTATCTTCTAATATTTAAATGTGAAACTTTTTTTATGTTCTAATACTAAAAAATTTGATGACAAAATATCAAGTGAATAACTAGCTAGAACCAGGATTAATATACAGGCCACCCTCAGTCGTACATAGCTCGTTAATTTGCTGGGATAGTAAATGAATACAACCGTCTAGTCCAACATGTATGGATATTGACGCGCCACAGGATATAGTAAAATAAGGAGTGTCCAAATATAGTTTGAAGCGTTGTATCTAATTTTAATATAAAACAAGTTCAAACACAATTAATCGGTTTTGTATTTTAAATATTGGGCTTTATGGTTTTCCATTATAGTAAGTTTTTCTTATGCATCATGCTAACAAATGCTGGTCACTTGAGATGCACAGATTGAAGTTGTTCAATTTCAACTTCAGAAGGACCTGACATTGCACTTAACTGGTTTTATTTCTAATTTTGTAGCTTTGGCAGCTTTCATGACAAGTCATTGAATGCATTAAGTGCTAATAATACTTGATTATCATTGGGGGACTATCGGATTTGATTTAAAGGATTGTAAGTACATATTTGCTGGTGATCCACCTTGCACGTGTGCATTATTATGGCATTGTCAGTGCCCGTACATCAAATGTAATGTATTCATAGTTTCATACCAGGTGACAAAGGAAGGAAAAGAAAATTAATTTTATTGCTTTTAATTTCATTGGATGTGCTCACTGTATAATTGAAAGTAAATGGAGTGCACCTATTCATCCAATAAAGATGGCCATTAGGTGATGCAGCTAAATCGTTATTGGATAGTAAGGTGATTTGTATATTTCATTTGGTTAGGTGAGTAAACAGTACCATCATATTATGATATTCTCCTTGACCAATTCTGCATGTTGCTTCTTTTTTGTTTGGATTCCATAACACAGCTTAATTACTTAGAGAGTCTAGTACTAACTCAATAGCTCTAAGGTTTCAGCTGTTTCTGGTCACTTTCAATACCCCTTCGTTTTCTCATCACTCACGTTTTGCCTTAGAAAGTGGTTTTCACTTTCAATCTTGTAGATGGACTCCAGTTTGGCCAATGTTTGATGATCATTAATAAAGAGAAAAGGGAGGGGAAAATGAGGAGACATTAAACAGAGTAGGTAAGAGAAGTAAAACCTAGCTTCACATGTCGTATGTTTAATCATAAGGTTTTGATTATAATAGTAGTCGTTGAAGAATACTATCACCAGAACCTTAAATAATAGTCTAAAACTAAATTTCAACTAAATGCTTCACTGAGAAACTGTAAACTGCAAAAGTATGTCACAAAGCGGGAAGGTGTCTCTTACAGAACAGCATTTAAAAACAAAGTGACAAGCAAACAATGGCTTTCAGAAAATTCTTGAGTCCGAAGTTTCCTTTGCTTCGAATTTCAAATATAAAGTGGAGAAAGCAAGTGAAGGTAAAAGAAAGATCTCTCTGCAACCTATCCTTTAAATAAAAGGAAGACAGTGTTCTTTCTCATGTGTATATGACCTGGTCTGCATATTAACATAATGTTCTTCCCATGTTATCAATTTTAAAGGAAAAGGGAATTTTTGCAACTGCAAAAGCATCCATCTCAACTGATGTAAGGTTTTTTTGGTGTTATTAGATCTCTTAATTGTAATGGACTTCTTACAAAGAAAGAAAGGGAAGAAGTTGGGTTGGTGTTATTGGATCTCTAGCACCTGGCTAGCACTGTATAAGTTTAGGTTAACTTGTTTGTAGTCTCCTTTGGTCACGTTACTAGTGCAAAGGCTTGCGAGAGTCATTCTTAATAATGCATTATAATACTTTAGGATGGCTTTAATATATTTATGAACGTGATCAGATATGAAATGGTATGTTGATGACTACTATATGTCTGTATACAGTAATTCTCTCTCCATGAAGAGAAGACCGATAAAATTTTACTCATACATTAAAAAGTTAGACCACGAACTCACATATATATATATATATCTAGAGAGAGAG